CACACACACGAAAGGCGGCGCGTTCTGCTCGACCCCCACCGACCTGAGTCGACTTGTAAATACATACACAACATAACGCATAATAAACAGCTTGTTGATTCCAATTCCATGTATTTTTCGCAGATCCCCGGAAGTAACGTACTGAACTGCATCTATCTATCAGCGACATTCTTCTGTCGTGTTCATGCCCCCGTTAACGTCACAACAGTGCACAACCCGTGATCCACCCGTTCTTCGTTTCCGTATTGTGTAGATCCACTGATTCGGTGTTAGGCAGATTCGGGACATATGCCTCCTGTCCATTTTCAATTGAGGGTTTTCTTTCTTTTTTTCTTCTTCTTGCAACATCTGCACACTCGGCCTCCTCATCCTCCTCCATGACCAGCCTCTCTATTGAGATCCCTCCTGCTTTTAATTTGAAGATGGAATTTTGAAAATTTTATTAACTTGATGTCTGCGGAGTACATACTCATACCCGCGCCTGAGACTGACATACTACTTAATGTGTCGTTGACGGCGAGCGCTTATGGATACCAAAATGAACTTGGCGTCGCCCCACATCCCACACCCACATATTGTCGCGCCAGGCGTACATATGTAGGAGACGGACATCGGATACTTACAGCCGGCAATTCCTTATGCGACTCGACGGCACCTGTATCATCATTTCCGCGCACGCTTGCATCCACCTCCCCGGGCCCACCTCCCCACCTTCTTCTGACTTGGAGTTCGAGCCTACATACTTAGATCCAGCAACGAATTCTTCGCTCAGGTAGGTACATACATGTATGTACTAATATGTAAGGTTAAGTAACCCCTTCCGTCCTTCGCCCCCTCTAGGAAGTTTAGTATGTACATATGTAATTCAGGAGGTAAATCATCAGGGTATGCATTATGATTATGATTACGACTCATAATAAATGCCGAAGGGTGGTGATCGCCAATCTCTATGTACATACTTTATTTCTACCGGCCCCTAACCGAACGCATCATTCCGCAGGCCGGAACACGCTCGGAAATGTTGAGGGGGGTTGGAAATTGGGCTATAGTACATATGCGCCACGGGGGGGTCGATTTGTCGTTCGTCATCGTCATCGTACGTACGTACATACATTTCGACGGGTGGTGATGCTGCTGCTGCTGCCGGCCTGCAGATCACTGACTGCCCAACCCCAGCCCAGCGGAGACAGACACAATCCCTAAACACCTTCGTAATCCCGGATGTGGTCCGGGGGTAAATGTACTGAACTGCATCTATCAACGTCAGCGTCAGCATCAGCACCAGCGACATTCTTCTGTCATGTTCATGCCCCCGACACACCCGTGTGATCTAACCCCCACCTATTCTGTTCCGTGTTGTGTATGTAGATCACTGATTCGGATGCGCTTGAGAACTACATACCGAGCTCCCCCGCGATGGCCAGTGTACACTGCATGTACATGTACGTATGTATACACATCACAGAGGGCGCTGATGGCTGCCTGCCAGCCCGTTGGCCCAAGCATCATCCCCCATAGCCGTCCATTTTTCAATTGTCAATGGAGGTTTTCGTTTCCCCTTCCTTGCGACATCTCCGACTCGGGGACCCTCCTCCATCTATCACGAACCGGCCCTCTTCTGGAGGGGGGGAATTTGAAATTGACTTTTACATGGGGGCGCCCCCCCCCTCCTTACTAGATCGATCTCATATATCACCGGAGTTGGTGATGCCATCACCCCTCTAATTTAGCTTGCGACCCTGTTGTCTCAGGTACATACATACCCCCTGCGAAACGGGCACGGGGTTTAATTTAGGCCCTGGCACGGGACAGGCGACAGGCGGCATGCAGTGATGTCATGATAAGCGTCTGTTCGGTGGTCGTTCCGAGGTTCCGAGGCATCCTGCAAAGGGTAAGTCGGGGGGCTATGTGGGATTTTGGGAGAGAAGAGCACAGTTTTCAGTTGATTGAAGGAGGTACAATTACAGACACTAGGATAGATAACGTTTTCGACTAAGTTGTACAAGATGAGTGGGATTGGGGGGGGGTACTTGTTGTTGTTATATATGGGTTTGTATGCGATTGATAGAATAGTGTAGGATATGGAATAACTAACCACCAAGACTGAGAGAAGAGCAAGATAAGATGATAAGAGTTACGAGGAAGAGAGGACAAGAAGGAGCGTGGGTGGGGGCGTCACACACCTCACCGACAGGCCTACGTCTCGACGGAAACGACGCTTGAGAGCCCGCTCTTCACGTACTCCCTGGGCCGGTCAAAGCTCCTGCGGCGCATCGGTTTTCCCACAGCGTGCACCCTGTTGAGGAGAATGCCAGCAACGAGCCTCGAGCGTGCGTTAGGATCAAACTGCGTCTGTGTCTGCACCGGTGAGTGGGTGCGGAGGGTGAACGTCGGTGCGTTCTGCGGGCGGGGAGCAGCGACGGACAGCGACGCGGGAGTGGTGCGTGGTGGTGTGCGGTAGAGGATCTGGGACGGCGGGGACGGGCCGAACGAGTCAAGGTCGTCGGAGAAGGGGTCGAACTTCATCGAGGGGGATGCGATGCGGGGCGGGGGCGGGGGGCCGGAGCGGCGGGGGGGCTGGGAGTGTGGGGAGCGGTAGGAGGCCGCGGGGATGCGCCGGATGCGCCGGGCGTACGGCGGCTGTGCGCCGGACGAGGACGACGAGGAGGAGGGGCTGATGAGGTCGCCGAGATTGAGGAGGAGGCCGGCGTGGGCAGCGGCGGAGGAGCCGGCGTACGGCGAGGAGGCGCGGGAAGTGAAGTCGGTGTGGATGGTGCGAATGTAGTGCGACATGGCGGTGATGGCTACTCCTCCAGAGCATGCGCTGGGTCTTATACCTCCCGACCAGGACACTCTTCCGTCCAGGGCTGATGTAAGTGATCCACGTGCCCAGCACAGCCCCAATTTATTGTTGCCCTTCGAGAAGCTTCGCAACTTGTCCACAGTGGCCAGTGCCAGTTGCCAATTGCCAATGGAAGGGGGCTTTGTGCCGTCCGTGTATGAATGCAACCCCCCAACTTCCAGTCAGGTGACCCCCGCCCAGATCCTTCGAGACGCGATATCCACCCACCTTCTGGGCTCAGCTCAGCGGTACATAGGCAAATTCCAATACACGCCACCATTCGCATCACGGCGCCAGTTAAAAAAAATTTTACAAACTTTCGAGGGGAGCCCAGAAACGGTGATCAGCCTATTCGCCAGCAACCCCAGGCAGGCTGGGCTCAGCTGACCACAAGCCATCAGATTCCACTGTCACTGTCAACAACCTCAAACTCAGCCCTCCCGATTCTTGCACGCAACGTCTTACTTAAAACAAACTACGTATCTCCAATTATGCTATTCTCCAGTTATGGGTCTGAGCACAACCGGCCAAGGCGAGGGCAGCGGGGCAGCTGTACTATGTAGGAGCCTTGTTTTGGTCGATCTTTGTCAAAAGAGTCCTTATTCTTCTGATTCGTGCTTCTTCTCATGAGTGTCGTATCTCATTGTACTCCCTTCTCACACCAAGAACTATCATCCTCTTACCCCGTTACTCGAAGCAACAAAACAACAACAACAACAACCACCCCCATCGCGCCCCCTTCCTTTGTTCTTGCTTTATTCTCCACCCTTACTTACATACATTACATACGCTCTCAGGCGTCCCCATCCAATCGACAATACGGCTACGTCCTCGCTATACTTGCATACACTTACGCACCCGTGCTTATCCTTTCGAGCCCAAGCAACCCATTGTCCACCCACCCCCTGCCGTAACGGCCTCCTCCTTCACTAAACTAAACGGCTGCACGCGGAGCGGATCCACATATATACATCCCTGCATCCCACCACACCTCCTGCACATGTTCAGACCGCTCACTGTCTTGTTCTTTAGGCGGCGCAGCTAGCGAGCGATCATCACGCATAATCAGATATGACTACTCCTCCTCCTGTGTAAGTACGACTATTTCAGATCATTTACATACACCCTTGTAATACAGATATATTTTGAACGGCGGCGCAGCTAGCGAGCGATCAAGACGCGTAATCAGATATGACTCCCCCCTCCCCCTCCTGTGGAAGTATGGTATGACTACAATGTCTGAAGCATCGGCGTCTGCATTGGGACTCGACCATGCACATGCATAACTCACTCATAACTCATAACTCATTAGTGATCACACCACTGTCGCGTCGCGCCGTCTCACCTTAATCATAAACTCCAAGCCCTCCGCCCAGAAAAACAAAGACCGAAAACACACATATATATATACCGCCGCGCCACGTCGATATGTAGCTTGGTATCGATAGCGATAACGCACGCCAACAAGACGGGCGCAGTCTCAGTCTCAAGTCTCAGTCTCAGAAGTTGATATAAAAAAAAAAAACTTGGAAGGTGTAGTGGCCTGTTGCTCCGAGCTCAATTAATTAGTGAGGGCATGCGGGTGCCGGTGCCGGTGCCGGTGGGCACGGGAGGGAGGGGGGTGGAGGGGTCCATGCTGTGTATGCTGTGTAGATTGGGTTTATACGAGATATAATATACCATTGAAGGAAGAAAGGGTGTAGTAGCCTGTTGCTCCGAGTTCGAGTGGTGCTGCTGCTGCGGGCGGTGGGCGCGGGAGGGCGGGGGTGGAGGGGGTACGTGCTGTGTATGAGAAGGCTTTCGGGCCAAAAATAGACGTGTATGAAATCACGATGCAGTGAATTATGTATGTATGTACATATGAGTGATCCCGTCGATCGAGAGCGATCGGGATTTCGGCGCCAGGGGGGGTCGAGAACTCAGACCTCCAAGCTTATAGGCAAGGGCAAGCTTATAGGCAAGGGGAAGCTTAAAGGCAAGGGCAAGGCTTAAAGGCAAGGGCAAGGCTTAAAGGCAAGGGGAAGCTTAAAGGCAAGGGGGGGGGGGTCGGTCGTAAGTTAATCACCCAATACTAAACGGTAACCACAAAACCAAAACTGGCAAAACACCCAATTGCTCTCCCCTCGACATCTTGACGTCTTCACGAGGAACGATAACAAGCAGCATGGCGCAGTTGGAAGCGCGCAGGGCCCATATATATACTCATGTACATAGGTCACCCTGAGGTCACTTGATCGAAACAAGTTGCTGCTATGTATGTACATCTAAGGTGTATCCCACCACTGATTTTTTTTCTTTTCTTGGGAACTCACTCTCATGAGTCGATTATCATTTATTGTGTTGAAACAGAATGTTTTCACAATGCCAATGAAAAGATCCAAGTCACTGACATCATGTGCAGCAAACCTGGAGAGAACAGAAGTGGTGGTGTACATCTTTCTTAGACTTACTTCCACTGAGATTCTCTCCAGGTGAGTATGCATATCTTAGACTTACTTCCACTAAGATTCTCTCCAGTTCAGAGACTTAGATCAAATTCTTTTCCACAGTATCTGAACTTTGTTCATCATCATTGCATTCCTCATCTATCCCCTATTCTTATATGAGTGATAATGACCAATCATCTACTGCAGCCAATTGATCATCCTCCCAAGAATATGGAAACTTCCTTGACAGGTCTTCAGGCCTGTATCAACCAGAGTTTGCCAAAGGCCAGAACAGACCCTCTGTTGAAGAAGCCCCTATTGGAAAGAATACAAGTGGATCATCCTCAGCCAGAGTCCAGACAAAATTCACACCATAGAAACATTATACAAGAGGCTGAGAACATTATTAAGTCATTTCAAAAGAAAGAGATTGACAAAAGCTTGGCTACATGTAAACACATCCTTATTATCACCTCCTCAGAAATCTCAGATGCACTCCAAGGTGTAAGCCTCCACAGCTACCTTGGAATTGTTGATGAAATTGATGCTAAAGTCAAAGAACATTTATCCATCCCAAATCAAAGAATGACATTGGGATTAAATTTTCAGCTGACTCTTCTCAGTTGCATATTGAGCCAAGAGAAGAAGATTCTGAGTCTATTGCATCAAATGAAAGAAGCAGAGATAACCAGGGTAACAACCTAGATGGATGTAATGAAGGGGATGAAGATGAAAGAGCAGCTGATGACTTCTTCAATTCAGTCAACTTTAGACAATTATGTTGGGCAGGAAGAGACACTGTCTTCACAGCAGTTCCCTGTCAGGGTCCTCTAGTTCATCCTCAGACTCTGGAACAAGCTCAAATGATTCCATCAAATAGAGATACAAAAAGAAAAGAATTAGCATTAAAAATGTGCCTTGGAGAGAAAAAGAACAAATGACTTTGCAACTGGTTGATCCCCATTGCTCTGAAACAGCTCTTCAACTCAGACAGTACCTTAAATCTCCCTCAAGTTGGAAAAAGAAGGTCCTCCTTGTAAACAGTGCCCTGGCAAGTTTCCCCAACACTGAATGGGACAAACTTCTTTGGAAACAACCTGCCTGCTTTGACACTATCCTCTCCTCTCTCCACCATATTGGAGCTCCTTGCAAGAATAAAGGGTAGATTGGCAATTGTGAAATCATCCTTGGACACAGCAATCCAAGCCAAAAAGTCACATCAGCAGTGGAGTGGATTATGGCAGCAAAGCAATACAGAAAAGCACTCACATTCCTTTTTCCCCAAAGAGAAGCTAACTAGGAGAACCATGAAGACTACTTCATATGGCTTTTCAGTGCCAGGCAATCTGAATCACATAAGCACATCATCAAATATAAATGCACTATCTGTAGAAGGGTTGGGCCAGGAACCCCATATGCTGCTATCTGACTGATACTTGTTCCAAGGCCTTCATGACTCCATCCTTGACATTGATAGTGTCCAATATAGATCAAGTTCAGGTTCCGCATCAAACTTCTTGACTTCCAGAATCCAATCTGGTGGTGGTACAAGGCAATCAGGGCCTATTTGCAAATATTATCAAACCATAAGGGGCTGTCCTTTTGATGCTGAAACCTGCTATTATAAACATATCTGCAAAGCATGTAAAGGACCCCACTCAAAGAAGGACCACATTAGAGATATTGCAGATGGAGATGGAAAAGAGAAGTCAACCTAACTATCTTTGATATAATTATTTTGGAGACAGAACAAAGTTACCTCCAATGGTTCTTGAGTGGACTTTGACCATGCTTCCTTTACTTTCTCCACTACTTGAAGAACTTTAGAACCCTGGATCTAGGAAGACTATCTCTGAGCATCCAGAACTATTTCTTATAATTACACCAATTAACCCATTGACAATCTTGCTCTGTATACATCCTCTCACCCTAATCAAGAGTTTGTGAAGTCTGTTCTATAAAGTCTGCAGGAAGGATTTTGGCCCTTTGCTGATACTCATCCATCAACATATCCAGCAATTTGTGATATGTCCCTCAGGCTTCTATCAAATCCTGTATATGCAAAGTTTCTTTGAGAGCAATGCAATGTGGAGATAGGACTTAAATGTTACTCTAAATCTTTTGGGGACCATTTTTTTGACTCTATGCATTGCTTGCCATGTCACGCTGTTCCAAAGCCAAAATCTGATAAGCTTCAACTAGTGAATAATCTTTCTCTAGCAACTATTTTTTTTGATGACATCTCCCATTTTCCTGTAGATAAAATGCATTATTTTGGTCCATATATTCTGAAACACAGGAAAATCACCAACAAATGCCTTGTTGTTTGGAAATCAGATTCTCATAGCACCTACTGACACATACCAATGTATCCCCATTGGCAGCTCAAACAAACCATGAAGATTAATGGACAATGCCATGTTGATTGTTGTAATTGCTTTGGCAGTTAGGTGTCTCTATATTGCTGGGGCTCAGTTATAGGCTGTGCCATTGGCATCGCATACAGGTTGCCGGTTGCTGATCTTCTCCAGCTTTTCATTGTTACATTCAAAAAAGCCTGTCTTGCTTCTTTATATGCTTCTTTTCCAACAACCGACTTAGTTTCATTTACTTGAACACTTATTTTCCTTTATCCCCCCTGTAAGGACCTTGACTTTTGCTAACAGGACTTTTTCACCACTTGGACCTTTTTTGTCTACTTAGAGGCTGATGCGCTTCAATATGCTGTACATTTGATATTTCGGACAATTACATCATCTTTCTATTTTATTCCTCTTTCTTACTTCTCTTATTTTCATTTTCTTTTAGCCTTATAGCCATTATTTATGGCAGAAATACAAATAAACCCATCAGGGGAATGGCTTTTGTCACCCTATAGATCAGTCAATTCTTGCTATAACAATTTACCTGATGCTAGATCAAGATTCATTGGACAAATGTACTGAGCAAAGGATAACAAGTAACAAGCAGCATGGCGCAGTTGGAAGCGCGCAGGGCCCATATGTATTCATGGTCCGAATCAGAATCTGACGGATGTAACTACATAGGTCACCCTGAGGTCACTTGATCGAAACAAGTTGCTGCTATGTATGTATGTACATCTACATGAGGTGTCTCCCACCACTCAATTTTTTTTGGTAACTCACCCTCATAAGTCGATTATCATTTAACAAATATACCAAGTAAAGGGATAACAAGCAGCATGGCGCAGTTGGAAGCGCGCAGGGCCCATATATATTCGTGATCAGAATCTGAATCTGATGTACATAGGTGTTACCCTGAGGTCACTTGATCGAAACAAGTTGCTGCTATTACATCGTAGCTGTATGTGTGAATGGCACAAAGTCTTTTTCTTTTTTCTTTTTATTTTTGGTAAGTATAGCTGGCACCTGAGTGGGCTTCTTTTTTTTCGGTATGACGCCTTGTTGACGGTGTCGACTTCTTTCCGCGCCACTCGGTAGTAGTAGTGGTGGTGTGGGTCTATGTCAACTAACTCGACCACCCCGTTAATCCACGCAGGCGCATACCGTAGCCATTATACATCAACCCGTGACCCCGTCTGCCTGGTTTTGAGGGAGGCTTGTTCGAATTAAATTCTGCCGACTGTTTTGAGTTGCTGCGAGTGGATATTTTGGCGACTTGGCAAAATAGATGCAGTTTTTCCTTGTCTGCCCTCGTACGCTTCGCATTTTTCGTCCTTGCAGAAGTGATTATAGGATGTAGCGGGAACGAAGCGGAAGAGAAGGTGGTACGCCTCAGTAAACAATCAAATGCACAGCCAGATGTCGCTAGTCATTCACGATGCGGATATCGATAATCTCTAATTTCATTTTATTCCATGAATAAAGAAGTAGGTATCTATAGGTCTGGCAATGAAAGGGGTATACGTTCATGCTCCAGGACCGAATCCTTTCTTACCTTTCCCTCCGCTTCCGAGTCGATGGCTCCTGGCCCGAACCTCTCTCAGGATCCATAGTGCCATCAGCCGACTCATAAGTAGATAGTCGTCGTCTATGTGTTCGAGGACGCCGCACATGTTCAGTGGTGTCCCCATCACCAGAGTCACCCACTGCCGACTCAGGATCTGCAGCACCCGGTCTCGTGGGCGAGCTACTACCCTCTCCAATCGCGGGTCCTTTCTCTCTTTCATCGAGGCTCTTATCGGGGATCTGGGGAAGTGAAGATGGTGAGTTTCTGACAAGTGCTGCGAAATAGAGAAAAGAGAGAGAGATACTGACAGGCGCACGGACGATGAACGCCAATAACGTCGAGCACGCAGAAAAAAAGAATACCGCCTTGAGACTGATCTCATAAGAGTCCCTTGCAATCCGTCGGAGGTCCGGGGGAAGCGAAGCAACCAGCTGTGAAGAGTGGCGGATTTTCATAATAATCTAACACGGAACGTGAGGCTAGCGCAATCGTTTACGAAATGTGTACTATGCACCTCTTCTGCATTAGGTCCTGTGATCCTCTGCCGGAGCTCGGTATCTAACTTCGATTGAAAAATGGCAGAGGCTATGGCGACACCACCGACTTGCCCTGATGAAAATTTATGAGCGTTCATATCCCTGTCAGAGGATGCCCATTGAGCTAACCTATTCCTCGGAACAATTGTCCGAACCCAGTCCCGACTGCCATCTGGGACTCTACCCAGAGGTCAACACGCGGAACAGCATGTAATTTGTTTCAAACCTTACATACCTGGAAGATGGACGAGTAGCGCGACTGATTGACAGCATGAATAATTATGTAAAGGAGTTCATTGACAGGACTTACTGAGCATTGTTTGCAAAACCACAGCATTGCCAAAGCCAAGTGGGGCCTGGAAGCCGGTAATGAGTCATACTCGTATTCTCATTCCGGCCGGGATGTAATATCACTTACGATTCCCATCCAAGACAGGAACGCCGGAGAGTCTCTGCGCAGGGAAGCCACAAGCGACGCTCCGATGAATGGAAGCCAGCCGAAAGTTAGGTTAATGGTCTTGTATCTTCCGGTACGATGCATCATGTAACCAGCAAAGACTGATCCCAATGACATAGAGAGACTGTTAGGAGCAAGGTGCAATCCTATTCCACATCGAACTGGTGAGCAACATAAAGTAGTCGATACTCAAACCACTCACCTGCTATAGACGCGTTTGTTGACATAACTGTCTGGAACCACATTGGGTAGAAATAGTTCACAGCGAAATTGCACATCGCGACGAGGAGGTTGGATAACCCGACGAGAACTGGGATACTCTGCCTAAGCAGAGAGGGCGCCAAAACCGGCTCCTGAGCAACATATAGCTCCACAAGTAAGAAGGAGACCGAGCCAAGAGCCGTAACAACGATGGAAGCAATGACCGTTGGTTCCGACCACTGAACAGGAGATATTAGGAATGTCCAACAAGTGGATAGAGTACATGAGATCTCACCGGGAGGCCTTCGTTGTATCGCAGGCTAAGGAACGCGAGGGACGCGGCGACCTAGAGAAATACCGAACGTGAAAAGGAGTTACACGAAGGAGAGTGGTTGGATCTTCGTACTGTGATCAGAAGCGTGATCGAACCGCCATAGTCGATTCTTTTCAGGACTTCTTTGGTGCTCTTGCCTTTTCCCTGAATGGAGTGAGTACAGCCGCGGGGACGATTGCTTGGGATGTACTGACTGGGGTCACATAGTGATGGAAATGGAATGTTAATGCAAAGGAAAGAAGGAACATCGGGAGTTGGATCAAAAAAGCCCATCTCCAGCCCAACCTACAGGCAATTCATCAGCACTTGAACAAATAGGAGTAGAAGATTATTACCAATCAGTCACTATTCCTCCCACAGGACCACCGAAACCCATGCCAAGCTGTCTGGGTGCTCAATGGAGTTTCGAACATGCAATCAGGTCTGCGTACCCCATTGAATACACTAGCCATCCCTTGAGCCAAACCTCGATCCTGAAAAACACATTTCAAAACCAAAATAAATTAGTCGACTGGGTAAACCTACCCGCATGCTATACATATCGCTGATAACGATCCTGAAAAAAAAAGTCGTGAGTTTGCCTCAGAGATAAATGGCTCTCTAAGCTTACGAGCTGACGGTAAAAATTCCGCCTCCACCTATTCCCGACAACTGATCATATTTCAATCTGAATTGTTTTGAAAGGAAAAATGAACGCACGAATCGCGATAATACAAGCATCTCCATGCTCTTTGAAAGGCCACATCCGAGGACCCCAACCATGGTAAATAACAGCGCTACCTGGCTTGCTCCTTTTCGGCCCAGTACATTACACAGTCGGCCATAGAGGGGCGTGAATGTACAAGTTGAGAGGAGATAGCTGTGCGGGTGTATCAATGACACTGGACACCGATAGTGAACAGGAAATGCCGTACGCGGTTCCGAGCCAGCTTGCTTGGTTAAATTTCCCAAATTCGGAAGATATCGACGGGAGCACTGGAAATCGTTTAATCAGTATTACGACATACCTAAGAAAAGTTCAATTGACTTACTTGTGGGCACCAGGGTTGCTAATTGACATCACACGCCGTCAGATAGTATCCAGCACATGCAATTGTGAGCAAAACAGACATACAATTCAAGGCCTATGAATAATGGCAACGTCAGATTATATGTCAGAAACCCTTCAAGAAGAACGTTCGCACTGAAAGAAAGGTTGCAGTCCATATCCCCGCCAAAACACCATAACGCGTTGATCGAGATATCTCCAGAGGTCCTACACGAGCCTTCCTGGAGACATGTTGTCGTCCATCCTTTGTGGTCTGCCTTGACAATAAAGGCTCCGTCTCCAAAGCGAAGGGAGGCATTATTGCTTGTGAATGAAGGAAACAATGGTCAAATGTATGCCGTGCTCCCCAAAGTCATATGAAGAAAAAGAAAGATAATTTAAGGAATAAATATTCCCTGGTGGTGGTTAATTTTCACTGAAGAGATGCTACATATCACGTCAGGCAGTTGTGACTCGGTCAGCATGTGATGGGTTTTGGAGTGTTCCTAAAATAGACCTAGGGACAAGTCGAGTCTTGACGACCATGGCGGCTCGAGAAAGGTCAACTTCAAGGAATGTGTAAGTACATAACCTCTAGTCTCGTACCCAGACGTTCTATGGAACGCGATTGACTCGTGTGAATCCTTTGGTTGTAACGTCCCCCCGGACTCGTCGACTACATTTATTACACGAAGGCGTTCGGCACACTTCGAACAAGACTTTTGTCGGGTTGAAAAATTCTCACGAGTGAAACACTATATACGGATGGGTATGAGACTACATTTGGAACCTCCAGCAAATGTTCGGTCCTATCACAACGTCGGAGCAGTCAAATTTCAATCCTCAGGGCAAAACCTTTCATTGAAATGACTGGCAACTTGACTCTCAGTTCGTTATCAACTTTTTGGGGATGTCCACGAGCTGCTCTATTGTTTCGTCTCATGGTCTTGAGATCTTTACATCATTCTGTGTGCCTTCCATCGGTCTTTGCCTTGCGTGTATGAGCTATTTTGCTCGTTCGCAGTGTGTTATAGATGCGCCCCGATGCTCTGGACGACCAATCTTCTATTCCTGTTCGCCGTTGCCTGCCCTCTGAGGATATGGACGGAGGTTATCATCAGGAGGTAGGTATTTCTATTTCTTACGACGGTGGCGCCCCAGCGTTCACAGCGTCTAATAGCTAAACATGATCAAGTCTACGCGAACAGGGTCTCCCAGCAAGCGTCCTGCCACGACCTATTATGGCGCGTAGAGTATACAGCTACCCATATACACGCATTTTTGTGCCATGCGTAACAGACGTGAGCAAACGCCTAGCTGTGCTCACTTGTTTAACTTAAGATCTCTATATGTGTAGATGCAGCAACGTCAGCAATTCAGAGTTGACCAATGCTGTCCTTGAAGAAAGCACTTCTATGAGTGGTCGTCAAAGAAGACAACAGTTACAGTAATATCGTCCCTAGAAGGGCATACACTCAGATAAGTGCTGTGGTTCAACAAAGATGATACGTACCTCAAGTTCTGAGCACGCGGGGGGTGAGTGGCCAACAGCTGTGCCGTCCAATGTACATCCGCGCCCCCGAGGGCATTTCGAGACAAGTGCTGTGCGGCGTTATTGTCTACACACGTGAAGCGCTTCTCCCTGCCCCACCGTTTGTACGTCACAGTATCATCCTTCTTCAGAGGCGATGGAAGGTCCGAAGGCATGATTGAGTCCCCGATAGGTGGAGGTGCATCGGGCGCGAGCGAGCTCATATCTCGGTTGATCCACAGCCCAACCAGCCCCACTACCTCCTCGCTCGTAAGGCTGTTCCATAGGCCATGAG